TTCCAACTATTTCAAGAAATGTTCCAAGTAGAACTCGACAAGCTCTATCGATTAGCCACCTTGGAATTTCCAATATCTCAAACCATGTCTCCAAAAATCGTGAAACAATGAGTTTTTACTAGTGTAGTTACAGAAACTACAAAGTAAAGCCTGCCAAGATTCATTTATGAAGGTGTTCCAACTATTCCAAATAATGTTCCAAGTAGAACTCAACGAGCTCTATCGATTGGCCACCTTGGAATTTATATAACGCAAACCATGTCTGGTTAAGTTTGTAAAGTACTGACTGTGCTCAGTGTAGTTAAGACGACCTATCGTTTTGATGTTAAGTATTTGAACATAGCAAATTTTTCAAAAAGATATTCTGTTTGATAATTAGGTATTTTAGAGTAAATTAATATTTTATGAACAATCAATACACAAAGAAGTACAAAAAGAAATATATAAATGACAATGTTAATGAAGATTTTTAATTATGATTTATTTTGTTTGTTTTGTGAAAATGCTCTTAATAAGTCATAGAGACTACCCATATTCTCTTGCGATGATGGTGTTGTTGGTTTGATTGGTTGATCTTTTGTATTGTTAATGTTAATGATTGATGTAGGTGAGTTATGAAATTTTGCACGACATTTATAGATGAAATAGAGCACAATTAGAATAGCTATTATGGCGAGAATACTCAGTGCAACAGTGAGGATAATAACGAGAGGTCTTGTTGCACTTTGATTTCCTAATCGAGACAAGTTATTACCAGTATTTTCTGTTTCTTTCATATTTTTTTCCTGAATTCTCACTTGCTCTTCTAAAGTAAGCAAGAGGTTTTTATCTGTGGCAAAGGGATATACTTTAGGTAGAGTTATATTTAATGGACGAATCGAATCGATGACTGGCACAATATCCTCATTAATAGTTTTTATTATATATGGCTGTAAGGTCTGACATCGCCTATCTCCCATAAAATTTATATTGCCTTCACAATAAAAGGTATCATTACAGCCTAAATTAATTATCGTTAAATTTTTGAAAACATGAAGCTCTTTACTTTTAGTGCAGTTTATAGGTGTCCGTGTAGACAATGCCATTACATTGGATCCTATTTTTTCAAAATGTGGAGAACTATAAACAGAATTCTGAACCTGACAATGAAATGAACGTTCGGTGGAAATTATTTGTTCTAGGCACATATTATTTATACGTTTTTGAACAAGTGGCGGTTCTCGACAAACTGTGTAATCCCCAAAATCACATACTTTTGTTTCTATTATCTCTCGCCATTCAATATATCCACTATTGGATAAGCCTATGACTTTTGGTAATCCAAAAAGTTCTTTTCCCTTTTCTTCCCCAGCGATAAAGAATGGCAAGGCGGTAAGTTTATAAACCTGAATCTTATCATTGGCGTCAATTTTTAGAACTGTAAAATAAGATACTACAACGATGTTGCCTAAATGCTCTGGATAATATCCTGTAGTATCGTTAGTATGTAATTCATTTTCTGATGGCAAAAAATGTACAGTCTGCGCAAATAGCATGCGCGATATAAATGTGGCTTTCGATTCTCTCGTGGTGGGCATAGAGTGTTTAAGATGCTCATAGGTAATTTCTATAACTTCATTTTGTTCTGTCATTCCAAGAAAATCTAAATTAAGATCATTGCTCTCGATCCGTCGCATGGAGCTCTTCATTCTCTCGTAAACATGTTCTGCGTGAGTTTTTAAATTAAAGCGCGTCTGCGCCTCGGCAAAAGAATCTAGCCGGGAAACATGATTAGCTATGGTGTCAGCATTAGTTCGCATGACATCCATATTTTCTTGAGCTTTACTAAATGAGCGTGCTAACTGAACTGTACTATTTGTATTAGTAAATACAGAAACTTCTAAACTATGTAACTGTTTGTTCGTATCCGAAACAGATCCTTGGATTTCTGACACTCGGTTACTCAGTTGTGCTCCTTTGATTGAGTTATAGACAGCTACACCTCCCGTAAAAAGAAGACTTAGTACACCAACAGTAATACCGATGAGTAGTTGTATAAAACGTTTACTACGATGATGATTATGGTGAGTTTTTACAGGTGCGGTTTCTGCAGAAAATTTCGTATTATTAGTAAAATTTAAGAAATCACCAATAGAAGATTGACTAGCAATATCCTCTTGTTCAATTTTTTTACGGAGTGCTTCTTGATAATCTACACATAGACTCAGTTTTTCAATTTGTTCAACAGGTAAGATTGAACAGACATATTGAGTAACTGGTATGGTTACTGTTAAACCAAAAATCGATTAGTCCAAAATCAGAACCGGTCGTAACCGAGTTACAGTCGAATTACTTTGACCCCTTCAGCCCGATTACCAGCAATATAATGAGCAAATCTAGTCCTATTTTGAATAAAATAACCCATACCGCTTTGCCGTATAATTCAGGAGACTTTTCAGTTTCAAAGCCTACAGAAAGTTTCTGTGGTACAAGTATTTTTAATGAAAAGGATTTTTCAAATCATACATCAACGTTACCAATTTCAGGTCGATCGGTGTCTCCACCTAATATTTTTTCAGGCATCAAAACTGAAAGTTCACACAATGCTCTACCAAGTTCAAAACAAATAAAAACTCAAGTTATAACGATTGAGCAATGCTCTTTAATATGGCCCACTTTTGGCATTAATAACAAAGCTTTTGAAGGTACGGTTTTAATTCTATGTTTAGTTCTAAAAAATATAGATTATTTATTTTCAGGTCGAACATATTCTGTAACAAATACCTGTAACATCGATTCTCCTTTATTTGCAATATACGTTACGTTTCGAACCGAATCAGCTATACAAAATATTATCTTAAACTCTAAAAATGAACCGTTCCTATCGCTCCGTAAGACATTCGCATTAGTTGAATCGGACGGTTGGGACGAGGCCAGATTATACTGGCTAACTACTCATAATATTCTGATTCATCAAAAATCAAATAAATACAACATATATGGATCTATCGATGCCAACGTATCATGCTTTATTAAAAATCCTGTTCAACTTTACAAGAACACGAGTGTCTGCTCGAGACAGGATTGTCCAAAACGCAAACGTCTTGCGACAAGCAGTGATTTGACTATCGAGTAAGCATTTAATGTCTTTATTGCAGTCAGCATGAACTGAGTGTTGAAATCATAAAGCTATTTGATATTCGTTATAATTGCCCTAATTTCTGATACATTTGAAAGGAGTTGATTCACATTTTAACAAATGTGCGTATTTTAACTAAGTAGTGGCTCTTTACAACTTACTTTCTTCTCTGTGCCATCTTAGAATAATTACAGAGCTTTTCCTATATTTAGAAATTGCGAAACTTCTATTTCAACATTTTTAAATGCAACTACTTCTCGTTGTGGTGAATTCGCTAAAAATGTTGATGAAATTACATTTAAGGAAGCAATTAAATTAGGATATGTAAGTCATATAAGACAAATCAAGAATATTCACACCAACACAATCGAAAAGGAGTAAGTTGAGTTTTTATTTTTATTAATCATATCGAAAGAGAATTTAATAGGGCTGGTTGGCTTTGCAATGGAGAAGTTATTACCGAGCCGTCTTATTTTGTTCATGGACCACCACCATTCCTTTTCGTGGACATTGTCCATCCCACTATCATTGATATGAATAGTGAGGGAATAGTTCAGGTGGACCTTAACTTCCATGATATTCAACGCAATATTACAGTTGGCTCATCAATGTAAGTAATCATAACTGATACCATGTAATTTATAAAATAAGAATAATATCATAAAGTAGCATAGGGTATGTAATATATTTCAGCTAATTTCTTTATAGAACGAGGTAAATGACATCAGTTTAAATCTATTCCAAAGTAGAGTAGGTAATGATACCTTTCATATACATATAGTATTTTAGTAGCTGAATATCCTTCTCATTGTCTAAACATACAACAACTGCATGATTTTGGATTATTGTATTTTTTTCTATAACACGTTGACTGTCCCATGTTAAAATTTCTGTAATGATATTTAATCGAAAAGCAAGTTCGAGATATTGGAAATTCCAAGGTGGCCAATCGGTAGAGCTCGTTGAGATCTACTTGGAACACTATTTGGAATAGTTGGAACACCTCCATAAATGAATCTTGGCAGGTTTTACTTTGTAGTTTCTGCAACTACACTAGTAAAATT